ACAGCACTGTACCAGCTACTAGGAAGGAAATTAACTCTATCCCAACCAAAACCAGGACAACTCTGTATCAAATATAAAAATTAAGTGAATGTGTCCCCCTCACCTTTTTTTTTTTCTTTTTTTTTTTCCCTTTTCTTCTTTTAGAAGGCTGGTTGCAATTACTGTACCCTATTTATGGAACAGTAAAATAAATTGGATGACTCCTTTCCATTTTCATGCCAATTCCAATTGAATAACATACTTTAATCCTTCAGATGATTTTCTGTATGCATGTTGTTGCAGCAGGAGCAAGTTTGGTCTGAGTGCCTTCAGCTTAACAGTATCTCTAGTGAAAAAGGTTGTAAACAGCATCTTTCCTTCACTGTTCCTTTCAGCAGCTTGGGCAGGTCAGAGCTCTTCTCCTCATGTTCACCATCACTGCACCATACCTATCATCTGTGTTTTAGCACTCTTTAACTAAAACAGCTGTAATATTTTTTAGCTGGTGGAAATATCAACAGAAAATTTTATATGTATGTGTGTATATGGAATGCAAGGGAGATTTGAGTATGAAACCCTAACAGTATAGGTTATTCATTATCAAGGTAATACTAGCAAGACTGGAATACTCAGCTGAATTTTGGAAAACAGAAAAAAAATGGCTATTATCTTGTAAAGGACCTTGTAACTTTCTCCTAAGCTCCCCTTTTTGAGCTTAGTCCAAGACGCAATATACTTTCATCTGCAAATTTGAGAACAGCTGGTGAAATCCCCACTAAGGGTCAATTCATGGGCACACAAATGCATACTCTATTGTGTTTCAGCATCAACTAAAAAAAGAAAAAAAAAGATAGTAATATGTTGTAAGTTGTTGCATGCTGTAACTTGTTATATGATTCCTCTGTTGCATTGTGTCACCACTGCTGTCACTATCAAGACAGAACAACAAAGACAGACTTTGGAAACATTTACAAACTTCTGGTGAGGATGGACCCCACTGTTCCCAAGGCCATCCTTGCTAGGCAGGGGAAGTCTTCCCCTCCACATTTTGAAGACCAAAAAACACCAACCCAAGTCGTGAGCTTCACAGCCTCCTTAGCCTCCTGCCACCTCCCATCCCTCCTGAGCATGTTGTCACGCATGTTTCCGTAGCAGCAGCAGGACAGCTGTCTAGTTGTTTTATTCATGGTATGACAGTCTGAGGCAACTACAGTTGTCTGCTTGATGGCTCAGAGTTCCTGTTATCCTCACAAGTGTGATCTGCTGTCATTCATGTATTCAACAGCACTCCATCAAGCACTCTGTTATCTTCTGTGCTGCAGCTAGAGTCGACACAGTCTTCCCCATGTTCCTCCGCTCTTCAAAAGAAGATGGGCCCTCTTCCAGGGGAGTGCTCTGTGAGACCCCATGAGCTACATATAGCCTCACAGTTTAGCCAAGATGAATGCAAATTATTCTTGGAGCTCCTAAGAGGGCAGCGAGTGTCTTTGTGAACAGCCTGGATGAGAATCTTTCAGACTTGACTCTTATTTTATAAACCAAATATTTCCATTCTGTCTCTTCTATTCTACTTGATGTACAAATATAGCTATACTTGGGAAGACCCAAACAATGTTAGCAAAGGTGTATCCCTCCACACTTATCCTCGCCCCACTTCAATAATATAATCTGGAATACAAACCTTTGTGGGGAAGTATATTCAGGGAGACATAATTCAAAGTTCCTTCCCTGTCAGTGAATATGAACAATATATCAATGTCCTGGTACTCAGAGCTGCCAGGCAGGCCTGTTCAGGTGCTTCTGAAAAATAATACTGCTGTGTCCTATGTCAAGTAAGGCTGTGCCAGTTCTCCCTAACTTTTCAAGGACAGAGCTGCCTCTTGGCATTAGTGCAGTTATCCATGATCTGTCTTGCAGGGACTCTGAGCAGTCAAACAAAACAAGTTCAGTTGCTTCAAACTGCTAGACCATGACTAGAGGATTGAGACAGCTGTCCTAATATCAGTATTTCAAGAGTGTTCCTCTTTGTGTCGCAATCTAACAACAAATGCCAGGCTTTATGTCCCAGATACTTGGGTTTATCTCTGGAAAGTTACTGATTTTTCTGGTTGGAGACCCTTTTCCCATTTCTTCTTTTCTTGAAAGCATTTTTTCCAAGTAAAAGACAGAGCTCAGGCAATACTGTTGGACTTGGAAAGAGACTAACTCTTGCTGTGCTGCTTACAAAGGTTCTCACATTGAACATCAGACTGTACGAAAGAGTGCTTTTGAGCTGTAAAAGGAACCTACAATTCTTTTTGGGCCTCCCCCAAAGATGACCTCCCTTTGGGATGTTCCAAAAATTCCTATTTGAAAAGCAGCCAGATGGGGTCCCCTTCACTCTTTTACTAGGCCTCACAGACTTACTGAAGTATCTGGGAGCAGTACTATGTCCAGAAGAGCTGTCTGTAAGAGGATCTTCTGCCAGATATGTTTTCATGGGTGCTGCACATGGACAACAATGAAAGGAGGACGAATGACTGTTTGCAGGTTTTCCTGTAAACATATGTATTTTAGGCAATACATCTCCAATACTTCTACTCCTCTTCCCTCTGTAATCTAATCGGATATATAGCTTCTTAGGATGAAAGGAGCTGAAATGACTGGCTGTTCTACCCCTAATTTTACCATATGTGCAGCACATGGAGAGAGAAGGAAGGGATGCCAAAGTAAAGGAAGGAAGACAGTGCCAAAGTAAAAAAACAAAACAAAACAAAACAGACTAGCAATGCCAACAATGCTGGCACGTTTCTACAGTGTTAATGCTGGTGAAGACAATGAATTTGGAAGAACTGTTACAGTTTTGTTTTTATCAAACTGTTCAATTCCCACAGATCCTCCTTCCAGTGAAGCCAAGAGGAATTCTGCCATTAGTTTCAGCAGGAGTAGTGCTAGTCTTGCAGTGCTTATTGTGGACTTTGATCCTGCTGATGTTTATGTTTAGGAGTAGGCATACTGGGCTTGTGCATAAAGTTAATCACCTGCGTGAATGTTTGCAGATAGGTTATCAGATTCTGATCCTACAAATATTTATGCTTGAACTCAACTTCAAATGCAACAGTGTTCAAACTGAATATATTTTCTGCAGTTTCAAAGCCGCCTGGTGAAGGAGGCTATCACCTACACTGTGCTTTGAATTAGGTCCTGTACTTTCTTCACTGGCTTGTACTGTGGTGTGTAAGGTACTTAGACAAAGCTCATCTTCCTAAGGGGAAAGATAAGCAAAGTTACTTTCTCATGCTTTGATCCCATTTATTTGTGCGTAGCTGCATATTTAATTTAGGAAGAAATTACAATCTATTAAACATGCAAAGCCTGAAAGAGTAATTCTACTGTTCCTGAAAGAGTATCTCAGTGTACTGATATTTCTAATACATGGCTTATATATTTTTCATAATTTTTATGCCAACCAAATTTTGAACAATGAGATTGAAATTACAAATGTGGGTATCATATACAAGAAAATGTGCCTGCTCAGCTGTGTAAGAGGATACATGTTGCCTTTAGCAAATCATTTCTGAGGCTTTTCAAATAAAGCAGTGAACTAGTAATGATGCCTGTTGATTGATGAAATAACCTATTTCATCTACAGATAGGATTTTTCTTGTGATTTTGATTAAACAAAATGTCTCCAAAGGAGCATGGTACCTTATTTGTGATTTTTTTACTATTCAGGTCTTCCTGAGCTACTGGCATTCTTGAGTCCCAATCTGAGATATTTTCTTCAGGAATATGCCATATACCTCTTTCTACCATTGCTTCCTTCTACAGCAATAAACATAGTGTTTATCATTGCATTCTCTATATATTCTTTCCATAAATCTCACTAATCAGAGAAGGAAATACTAGCTTTTATTCTCATTCTCACTGGTTTACATGCAATGAGGTGTCATAGGCACGGTCTTCTGGCCTTTATGATCTTCTAAATGTACTTGTTGTTGAGTGCCATTTTGTTCTTACTGCCTACTGCTCACCAATGGCTTTCTCAATTTCATCCTGCCTATTTTTTGAGAAACATGATCAAGGTATGAAAGGACTAACAATGAAAAGGAAATCAGTAGCTGGCAGCACAAATTATTATTCTGTTTTGACTACAAACAGTAGCATCAAATGTGAAAACAGACTTTCAAATTAATTAGCATTTAAGGGAAATAGGTTTGGAATAATTATCAGATTGCTTTTAAGCAGCTATGTTTACAAGCGCATCTGCTTCCTATTAAGTCCTTTCTAGGGAAAAATAACAAATAAGTACACATTTTGAGTTTTGAATCTGTTTTATGTTCGTACTTTTTTACAAATTAAGGCTCAGGAGAATAAAAACACAATGGTATTGCCCTGTTCCTCACAGCTCCAGTGAAAGTGAAAGTTGCCTATTCTTCCCAAAGGCAAAGAGCCTTTTATTGCTCCTATATATGTGGGGAAATAAGTATGCTCTTCTCCATCTCCCATACTGTGACTCTTCCAACACCCCTTAGGTGAGGGATCTTAGTAGACTGTGCCAACACCCTGTATATGTCCACTAGGACACCTCTTTGCAAGCCCAGTGAGGCTACTTCCAGCCTATTGCAGCTACAAATGGCTGTAAAGAGACCAGATCTGATCCACCCTACATCGCTATTCATACCTTAAGCACTATTTCACATCTCTTTTCTCTTTTTCCCTCTAAACATATCTAGTGCTTCCAAAGTGACTGGTATAAGTGATCAGAGTCACAGAAGCTGTGCATCAGCTTCTTGGGAGCTCAAAGATTTCAAATAATCTGAACACCAGAAGTACTAAATCTTTTATTATAACTCATTTTCCCTTGAGCATTCCAACTCTGCAAAAAATAAACAAATCATTCTTTATTGTCTTCTTCCTGCAAGGATGTAATAGCTGGGAAGAGAAAAATAACAAAACTTGAGCTAGCTAGACTGCTGTTATGATTAATGAATAATCTTTGCACATTTGCATCTATTTTGTTTAATATTTTTCACATACAGATATTTCATCGATTGGAAAAATGATGTGGACAGCTACTTTACAATAGATGCTACTGAAGGAACCATTGCTACTAATGAATTACTGGACAGAGAAAGCACAGCACAGTACAATTTCTCTATAATTGCAAGTAAAGTTAGTAAGTATGACACAAACTGAATTAATATGCTAATGTGGTATTTTTTTCAGAATGTAGCGCTCAGGCATAAATACGCTGTGAAGAGTGCATGTATTGCCAAGAGATTATTTAAGACGGCCCAATAAATATCATTTTGCCAGACTCACTATGAGGTTAAGTGTGATGTTCAAACAGCCCCGTATAGTAAGGTTTTTCTAGTAGCCCTCATGTACGGACTGTTCCCTCAGAAGCTGAAAAACATTTTGTCAGCGTGAAGAGCATGAGGAGCTGTATGGAGACCTTCCAATTCTTATTTCTAATTTTGTAATTCACTCCATATGAAATTAGGTCAGTCAAATAACAGGTCTGTTAATCTGCTTTTTGAAGGTAGAAAAATTTAAAGACTCATCTGATTCTCAGACAAAAAGTACACTAAAATTGAGTCAAGATTTAAGGCCCTAAATGAATCAGTCTGTGTGCTGCAGCTCTGCTCTTGTGTTTTGTCTCTGCCCAAGACTTTATGCCTAACCACTTGTTTTCTTTTCCTATAAAATTTGTGGTGGGGTTTTTTTCAGCGTGAAGAGCATGAGGAGCTGTATGGAGACCTTCCAATTCTTATTTCTAATTTTGTAATTCACTCCATATGAAATTAGGTCAGTCAAATAACAGGTCTGTTAATCTGCTTTTTGAAGGTAGAAAAATTTAAAGACTCATCTGATTCTCAGACAAAAAGTACACTAAAATTGAGTCAAGATTTAAGGCCCTAAATGAATCAGTCTGTGTGCTGCAGCTCTGCTCTTGTGTTTTGTCTCTGCCCAAGACTTTATGCCTAACCACTTGTTTTCTTTTCCTATAAAATTTGTGGTGGTTTTTTTTTTCATTTCTTGTCTTTGTGTCTTCTCCTGCATAGCTTTTTTTTTATAAGAACTCCCTTCTTCTGCTGTATTATGTAGCTGCAGCTTTCTTCATTGCCATCCTTCTGTATAGCATTCCTTCTTCATGATCCTGTCAAACTGAAACTCTCATAGACGTATGTCACCCTTTGAATACAAGTCTTTTGGTCACTTAGCGGTTGTGTAAAGGCCACAGAAGTCTTTCTGTTGACATCAATAGGCTGTAGAAGAGGACCCCTGCTGTATTTCCTCTTCATTCTGTATTGTTTATGTGTCCAGAAATGCAAGTTTCTAAAGCAAAAAACATGTTTTCCTCAATGTATTTCTTGGTACTGAGTCTTCAAAAAATAATACATGCTACTAGCAGGAACAGGGAGATTTTGGAAGCAGTGAAGGTATACATTATTTAAAATAAAAAATAAATACTCAATTGTAGTTATCTCAAAAAGAACCATAGGCTCAGTCCCTGGAGCCTGAAACTATAATGAGGACACCAGTCAAATGAAAACTTGAATTTTATCTGTAGCTTGGAAAAGGAATACCCTAACAGAGGAAACTAATCTATCACAAGTGACTGAGTATATGGAGATACATGTGCATGTGTATATTGACAGAAAGCCCACCAGAACTGTAATTTGTTTCCAGAGAAACTGAAAGGCAGGTAGATGTAGAGGGGAAGTCTCGTAATGGTCTATGTTTCAGTAAAGCTTAACTATTTAGATTTACTGGTGGACAAAGAACACGAGATTTGTAATTTTTTTTTTTGCAGTAAGGCAGCAGTTTTAGTAAATTCGGTGTGAATCTGTTTATTATTCCCAAGAGTATTTAAAGCTAGCTAAAACCTCTGAGTCAACTTGTCTGTGCACCTTCCCAGCAGATATATAGTAATATCACGTTGTCCTGGTTATGTAGAGCTGTATCAGGCAGGCTATATTATGAAATTCCCATTTTTAACAATTGCCTAGTTAAGAATCTATACCTAAGATATATTTGTGATTCATTTCAGCACACCTCAAAATATTTATACATTGACTATTATCCATAGTATTAAAAACAACTGCCATACCGGTACTACACCAGTAATTGGCAATATTTTGGAGGATTTGAGGTATACTAACTGTCAAAACTTTATATGCAGTTGTCTAAGAGCTAGCACAGAAACAAAGGCTGGGGTTTGAGGGATGACACACTGCACACAACCAAAAAAGGTTAGAGAGAAGAGAAGAAAACATCTGAAGAAAAAGAGGGGGAAAAAATGACTATATTTGAAGAATTTCTGCTGTTAAAAAAATTGCCACTTGTTCAGTGCTGACATAGAAACACTGAAACTGCCATCTCTTATTAGTGAATAAGTGCACTGAACAGTGCCTTGACATATACACGCTTACCTAGGGGAAGTGGCCCAGTATTGCAATCGGTTGCATAAACTTGCCATGGGAATGGACGCTATTGTTACCTAAGTATTTTCAGTTCTCCATTACCTTATCTCTTTAAAATAAACAGACTCCAAACTGGTAATAGGCATTTTACATTCTGTTACTTAAAAACCTTTATTACTAAAATATGTATTTTGCCTTCTCACTGTGAGAGGACAACAAAACCGAAAAACACCCACCTTTTAGACACATCCTGATGGTCATTCTGCAAATTATCTTCTCTTGAACAGGCCAATTATAATCAAAGACCACCAGATTTATCCCCATCAAGTCAGAGAGAAAAATAAATTAAACCGGCTTTGCCATCATTCCCCTATATGTGGCAAAGGACGCCAAGGCCATGAGCAGGCTTGCATGGACTCCCTGCCTGTGCCTTAGCCCTGGGGCCTTCTAAGTGATTGTTCCCCTTTGTTCTTCTGTAGCTTCCAAATGGAACCCTGTACGAATCACAGATGATATTTGTGTTATATTTTTTCTCACAGCCAGTAAATTCTTGAAGTAATATTATGACTTTTGAGCAATCAAGTTACCTTTCAAACAACGGCACAAATGGCATGCAGTTTAGGTAGCTAAACATAGCAGCAGGCAATTGATAAATGTAAATGTAGATATGGATGTACCAGTTAGATTTTTCTTACAGGCTGATAAATCTGACTATTATTAACACTAAAGCACCAGAAGTTATAATTTTTAAAGGAATACATTCAAAAATAAGGCAGAAGAGAATTACCTTGTGTTTATTAAAGTAACCTTTTCTGACATCACCTATTGAGGAGGAAAAAAAAAAAAATCTTGTTCAAAAGCTTGGTTGTTTGGGAATTTGTAAATGGTTCCATGTCCAGTGTCCTCATTCTGCATTTATTTGACATATATATTCATATATATATACACACATATAAATACAGAGATCATTCTTCCCTAAACTCCAGGTCCTGCCCCTTCATCCCTGCCTACACCAGACATGGTGCAGGTTGGCAGCTTAGAGAGAGGTAGAACCTGGACCCTTAGCAAACAGTTAATTATGAAATCTGCTTGTCCTAGGCTTGCTTGTGTCAACTTGTACACTCACAGCCAGGAAAGTCCTGGTTACCCAGCAATAACACAGTACATCTTGCATATGGACAGTAGCTGCTGGTTCCATATAGGGAACTGGGATAAGGGAAGTTATTCTACCCAAGTTATGCAATGACTAGCTCTGACCATGTATCATTATACTGTAATCTTTATTTCTAACCCTGAAAAAATTCCAAACATCTGATCTAAACACTGTCTGGGAATCTGTCTCCAAATAGCAGCACAACTGACTCTTGAGAACATCTCAGAGGTGTACCCAGTGTGGAGTGATGGATAGCTTACTGTCGTGTTTAACACAAGACACCATAACTTTATTCTTGCTCTTGTTAAAGAAGCCTGTCCCAAAGTAGAGATCTTTTTAAGCGGGAGGTAGATGATTGTTCTGCTGACACACGGATGATGACACAGACCTGAAGGCAGCTGAATGCAGAAGGTCCCTTACCCATCCATGGAAATAAAAAAATCAGCCTTTATATAGAATAAAGTGCATGAACAGGGAGGGGTTGTTTCAGACTCACATTTTTTTCCCCCCATTTCACTTCCCAATTTCTCCGTACTTCTTTTCACTCCCTGACTATATTTCATTGTATTTTTTTTTCTTCTTAGAGTAAATCAACACCCTGGTAGCCTTCATGGATGCTGAAGGCAACCATGTTTCTGAACATTTCTGATCCCATAGACCCTGTCCAAACCAATAAATTAAACATGGCTTGCATTCATTTCAAGCACAAAGGCCAGCTGGCACTGAATAGCCTATTTCTATGCCATTAAACACTCTTACCTTCCAAACAGGGTGCTCACGGGTAAATCGATTCTTTGAGAGTGGTCCCTCGCCCATACTAACTCCCAGCACATGCATGTGAATTGTCCGTAAGAACACCAGATGCCCCAGGACAAAACTGTGCCAAGGGCTGCTGTAAGAACGTAATGCTATAAAAAAAATCAGAGTCCAGTGCTCAAAAAGTTCCCCAGTGTGCTGCTTAATTATTTAGTATGGAAATGGTTTTTGCGTCTTACAAAAGAGGAAATGGATCAGATGCATAAGATCTTATTTCTGCTTTCCCATCCTCAAGGCGCTAGTTAAGGTTGAAAATAAATATAAAGTAACCATAATCCTTCCTGTCCAAACCATCTTCCCAACTCCTCTAACTCTAGGCCCAAATTTTGTGAACGCTAAAGAAACCTCAGCTTAAATCTCAAGATGGGGTTTATCTTCTCCTGCATACCACAATTGGGATCAAGGAATCACCAGTTCTCCTCAATGGTCAGTATCTATTTTCTCAGATATCTTGGATTTTCACAAGTTCATTAGTCAAAGTATTTTACATATTTTCTACTACTGTAATATCCTTGAACCATAAAGATGTTAACAGATGATGGTACTCAAGCAAAAGAAGGAAGCACGGTTGTCACTATCTTACAGACAGGAAAACTGAAGAAGAAAGAAGCTAATTAATTTGCCAGTATCTTACAGGCAGAATTGAAACCTGAAGTCAGTTTCTTAATTCCTAGGCTAATGGTTTAACCAACTTGTCTTCTCATCTGTGTAATCTGGGTTTAAAAGGCATGAGCAGATGTTTTCAGTGACTCACTCACTGATACCAGCATGCATATCACT